TATGGAGGCTAGGAAGTGTTTTCTTCAGCAAAAATGCATACACTGTAGAGTAAGGGTGACAAGGTTTTGAAATCTGTCCACGTCTGTCACATTCCGTGGCATGTAACCCTTTTAGAACCTCATCCCCTTTTCTGTGAAGGGAATCCTTTCCACATGTGAGCATTGAGAGACATTAAAACGCACAGCCGGTGCTTATGGCTCATGCCTGTAATCCTAGCTACTGAGGAGACAGAAATCTGAGGTTCATGGTTCAAAGCCAGCCCAGGCAGGAAAGTCTGTAAGATTCCTTTTTTTTTTTTGTTAGTTGTGGGGCTTGAACTCAGGGTCTGGGTGCTGTCCCTGAAATGTTCTGCTTAAGGCAGTTGCTCTCTACCACTTAAAGCACACCTCCACTTCAAGCTTCTTTTTTTGTTAGTTACTTAGAGGTAAGAGTCTTACTGACTTTTCTGCCTGGGTTGGCTTCCATCTGTGGTCCTCAGATCTCAGCCTCCTGAACAGCTAGAATGATAGGCATGAGCTACCAGCGCCCAGCTGAATTCCCTTTTTAATTGGCCAGTGGCTTTGAGTCCATAGGAGATACTTTAGGAACAGCTTAATATACCTTTTCTTTTTTCTTTTTGGTCGTGGGGCTTGAACTCTGGGCTTGGACGCTGTCCCTGTGCTCTTCAGCTCAAGGCAAGCACTCTACCGCTTGAGCCACAGTGCCACTTCCCTTAATACATCTTTTATCACACAATCTTGCTGAAGGAACTCCTCCCATGTACCATGCCCCACCAACCCATAGCTCTACTTCCTTTACTTCAAATTGAAAACCATCTGGAGGCCAGAAAAAATGTCAACTGAAGTTGTGCTGACAATTCTAAGCTCATAGCACCCTTTACACAGGTCATCCCAGTGTGCAGCACCCCTCATCCCCCACGCTGACCTTTTACTTTCCTACCTGACTTCCACTTCCGGCTTGTTGTGTCTTTCCACAACCTGAGAGGAGAAATTCTCCAGGCAGAGGGCAGCCTGCAGTGTGGCCCGCACGGCACTCAGGTAGGGGCGGAGAGTGGCAGTCTGTTAGAACAAACCAGGAGGTGGAAAGGGTCAGAACCTGCCTCACCAAACCCACCAAACCCCTGGCTCCCAAGTGAACACAAAAGCCTACATCTTCAAGTTACCTTTCAGTCTACTCTCAAGTGGCAGTTCTCAACAGGAAACACGGATACTTGACAATGTGTCAAACACACGTCTGACTGTCATAACCAGGTAAAGATGTGCTTAGAGATGGAGTGGATAGAGGTCAGACATGCTGCTAAACATCCTACCATGCACAAGAATTATCCAGCCTTAAATGTCAAAGGTGCTGAGGCTGAGTAAGTGACTATATATATAGGCACGCAGTTGACTGTCCACCATCTACTATGCTAAACGTGTATGCAAGTCTACCGCTTGCCACGGAGTGAGCGAGCTGGAAATTCAAAGATTGTCCATGCAGAAATAGCTCACCTGTGTAGAGGATAAAAAAGGAGGGAGGAAGTGTTTAAAAATTAGAAGTAATCTATATCAAATGAAGAAGAAACTGGTTTTGACTGGTAACAAGACCAGGATGATTTCAGGAGACAAAGTAGAATGAGAATCTTCTCAGCGGAAGGGAGCAGCTTCAAGTATGCTGGTCACTCAGTCAAGTTCTTTCTCACCTTAGGACTTGATACAGGCTGAACTGTCTGCAGGCTTCCCTCTCTGTTTGCTTAAGTCATCTGTAGTTTAGCTTATTAGGGAAGGCTTCTTCCTGTCTCAGAAGTCTTTTTTAGCCAGGTGCCGGTGGCTCACGCCTATAATCCTAGCATAATCCTAGCTACTCAGGAGGCTGAGATCTGAGGATCACAGTTCAAAGCCAGCCTGGGCAGGAAAGTCCGTGAGACTCTGAGACACTTATCTCCAATAAAACCACTAGAAAACCGGAAGTGGCACTGTGGCTCAAGTGGTAAAGTGCTCGCTTTGAACTGAAGAGCACAGGGACAGCGCCCAAGCCCAGTGTTCAAGTCCCACAACCGACCAAAAAAAAAAAAAAAAAAGTTGACTTTTCCCCTCATTGCATTTATTATAATTTACAGTGACACATCCTTTGCTTCATCTGTAAAGTTGGTTCCTCACTAGATGCTAAGGCTCATGGTCTATAGACCACATCTACTTTATTCATGAGGCCTATTTTATTCAGTTACATACTTCACAGCTAGCTTAATATCTAACTTACTGTTACTAAATGTTCTATAGAAATGAACACATGAATTCACTAACTTAATACTCTAACAAAAGGATATTATGAGTTCCATAGAGAGAGTAATGAGAGTACAAGGTTTATGTACCTGAAAAGCATTTAAATTGTATAGATGAGGCTATAATGGCAAGCTGAATAAGATTATTATTTCAAATGCCAGGCTACTGAGTTAGCTTCTTTTTTCCTAAGATAAGAACCCTGGGGGCTTTCTGAAGAGGAAGTTGTGTGACTGTGGCTGCACAGTGGCTCTCTGAAGAATGGATTGGAAAGGGAAGTGAGACACACATATGTATATATGTATACTTATAAACTTTTTTTTTTTTACAAGAAGTGTTGCTGGGCACTAGTGGCTCACGCCTGTAATCCTCGCTACTCAGAAGGTTGAGATCTGAGGATCACAGTTCAAAGCCAGCCCAGGCAGGAGAAAGTCCATGAGAATCTCCAATTAACCACCAGGAAACTGGAAGTGGTGCTGTGGCTCAAGTAATAGAGCGATAGCCTTGAGCTAAAGAGCTGAGGGACAGCGCCTAGGCCCAAAGTTCAAGCCCCATGACTGGGGGGGAAAAAGTGTCAATGCAGGCAGGGGTAGTGAAGAGGACATTCAGTCAGAGGGGGCTGGATTGACATCTGATGCAGAAGAAAATTTTTTAAAAAGATCCCAATGAACGGTGGTGCACTCCTATGGCTCAGAAGCAGCATGCTTGCCTACCTTGTATGAAGCTCTAGATTTGACCCTTGGCAACACAGAACCCTTTTCTCTGTCAAGGGCCATTTACCTTGTTCTCAGCCACATAATTATCAGTATGGGCAGATGGCTGTGGGCAGTGGCCATCAAGAGGCAGCACAAGAGTTTATCCCAACATGCACCAAATGATTTCAAGGGTCTTATAAGGCCCTAGGGCTGGTTTAGGAATTGGCCTTCCTTGATCCATAATGTGGAAAAGACAAAATAATACAGGAAAAATTAGTGGTGGTTTGGGTTAGAGGGGTCCGAAGTAGATGGGTTACAGAGACCTGAGAAAACTTTATGGCGATGGATCCTGAGTCTAGTAGTTACATGGCTGTTTTTTGGTAACATTTATACACAATAGACCTAAAAGTGAGCTGGGCACCAGTGGCTCATGCCTGCCATCCTAGTTACGCAGGAGACTGAAATAGAGGATTGCAGTGGGAAGCCAGCCCGAGGAAGAAAAAGTCTTATCTCCTATCAGCCAGCAAAAGTCCGGAAGTGGAACTGTGACTCAATTAGTAGCCTTGGGCAAAAGAGCTAAGAGGAGACAGGCCCTGAGTTCAAGTCCAAGTAGTAGCACAAACAAAACAAAACAAAACAAACTACCCTGCAGGTGGCCGACACTTGCCCTTTCAAGCATAAAAGACAACAGGCTCACGAAATAGCTCAACCAACGTACAAGTTTTAAAACTGTACGGGCACGTCCTCAACCGGATCAAAAGAAGGAAGGAAATGCCGGGTTTCGAACTGAGGTGTGAAGCTGAGGACAGCGAGCACCAGGTGAACGATGTCTAGCTTTAGGCCGCCTCGGGACGGCCGCCGGCCCACCTGGCGGGAGCACTGAAAAGGTCGACGGGGGAGCTGTCGCCGGAACCCCGCGGCCGCCGCGGCCGGGCGGCCAGGGGCGGATCGCCAGAGAAGGCACCGGACGCGGGCCTGCCGGGCCGGGAAGGGCCGGCGCCGTCGAGTCAGCTCACACGGGGTCGCTCGCGGAGGCAGAAGCAAGGCTGGACACGCCGAGCCGAGGAGGACAGGCGGGCATTCGCCCCGGAAACCGTCGGGTGGCCGAGGGGGCAGGGGGTGTGCTCGGCGCGGCGCTATTCTGGGGGGGCGAGCGGAGGTGGTCTCACAGCAGGCCCCGAGGCACGGCCGGAGCCCGGGGAGCCCCACTTGCGACTTGCACCGCTTCGGGAGTATTTCAGGCGCGCGGCGGAGCCGGGCCGGCGGCCGAGGGCCTGCTCCGGCCGGCGGCCGTCCGCGCCCCGCCCTCCGGCCCCCACCCGCCCCGAGCCCCCACACGGCCACGGGCCTCCGAAGCAAGCGACGGCGCCCCGCAACCCACAACCCCGAGGCTGAACGGAAGGGGGTGCGGGGTCCCCACAGCGGGCCCCGGCGCTCTCACCATCGCGGGCGCTGGCTGGGCCGGAAAGCGGAAGTACGGAAGTCGCCAGCCCCACGGCGTCTGACCTTTTGCGAGCAGCGCAGCCGCAGTCTCCGCCCCGACTTCCGGGCGATACCATCTCTGGTCCAAACGGGGGGGGGGCGAGCCCACGAGCCCCGGGCTCCTTAGGACTTCTGGACGCCAGGGCCCTTCTGGTATGTTTCCAGCCCTGCATTAGTGCGCCACGTTATGGCTTTCCCGGTACCCACGTATCTAGCTCTGGCTTGCGCCTTCCACTATTTCTAGCTTCCGCCTCCGCCTCCCCCAGTCACGCAATAGTCCAACCCGACCTCAAGTTGGGCACCAAATTAGGACAAGTCGAGGCCGCAGAGGCCTACGTTCCTTCCGGTGTGCACTCACGTCCTCTCTCCGGGCCCCGCCTGCCCGCCGCCCCGGGGGCTCGGCGCCGCCGCCCCCCACCCCGTCCCGGCGGTTCCTAGGGTTCGCCCAGGGCCTAGCGCCCTCGCCCCGCCGGGCCTGGCCGCACCCCGGGCCCCGCAGGCTCGTCGGGCTCCCCGCCCGGCTCCCCGCCCCTCGTCAGCCGCGGGGGGCCCGCCCATAAGCCCGTTCCGAGGCGGTTGCTCCGGTCGCCCCGGACTCCCCGCCCCTTCCGCGGCCAGGGGGCCGTCGGAGGCGTGGGGGCCGCGTTAGGGGCTCTCTAGAGGACGGGGACCCTGGCGGCGGGACCCTGGGGCGACCCACGGCTGGGGTCAGCCATTAAGCAGTCCCACTTGTGTACCAGGCACTAACTGGGCTCTTGACGAGCATCACCGCCTAATCCTCCGAACATCCCAGGGAGGTAGGTACTGTGGTCGACCCCATTTTACAGAGCCGCACTTGTTACGGGAAAAACAGACCGAGCCCTCTCGTGCCCGTCGTGCATGTGGGATCTGCCAGGACTCAGGTGTAGGAACGTGTTCAGGGCACATGAAGTAGAGAACGGGCTTGACCTAGTTCTTCTGTCTGGGCAGCGCGTGTTGCGTGTTCCAAACCACCTCGGGTAGGGGGAAAGGCGTGGTGAGAGGAGCAGAATCTGGGCGGCCCCCGAGAACCTTGGAAGGATTGGAGGCTTGAAAATTAAAGGCCCAGCAGAACCCAGGAGATGAGAAGTCGAGCCCGTTGCACTGTGATACCTTGATAGTCAGGGCTGCAGAGAGGAGATGCCCTGGGTTCAGACTGCACACACCTACTCTTTCCCTTGCAGTTCCTTTGTAAAATGGAGATCTGAGTAGCTCCTGCTTCCGGGTTTGGGCGAGGAATTGAATGAGATAAGCTCTGCTCCAGCTTGGTAACCAGTGTGTTCTCTGAGTAGGAGCTGTGCCCTCAAACATGGCTTCCTTGTTGAGGCTCTTCCCCATGGAAAACTCCCTTGGGTTTTTCTCGTGCTATTTCATGTATGGCCCTCTCTCCAGGGTCTCATCTCCTGGGCCATGAGTGAGCTGAAGGACTGCCCATTGCAATTCCACGACTTCAAGTCTGTGGACCACCTGAAGGTCTGTCCCCGCTACACGGCGGTGCTGGCCCGCTCGGAGGATGATGGCATCGGTATCGAGGAGCTGGACACCCTGCAGCTGGAGCTGGAGACGCTGCTGTCTTCTGCGAGCCGCCGCCTGCGTGTGCTGGAGGCTGAAACCCAGGTGATGCCCAGAGAGGGGACATCACCAGAGACAGACATTGGAGTTAGGGTATCGGTCATTAGGTTACCTCCATCTGCTAAGGCTGAAGGACTGAGTCTAGTTTGTAAAATACCTCTGCATGTGGCCAAGAGTTTTCATCCACTAAGCTTCTGTGGACTCCTGCCACCAATATGCTCTTAGTCAGGAGAGAGACATAGGACAATTTTGGCCAGTAGGGATTTGACAACACAGAGAGTGGAGAGACCTGGATTTGAACCTTGACTTCAGCACTTGCTTGTGTTGCTATTTCTTCCCTATGTGACTTGAAGAAAGTACCTCCTCCCCAAGCCTTAGTTTCCCTATCTACAAAATTAGCCAATAGCAGGACCATCCTAGAACCTTTGTGAGAACTAGAGAATTTTCACAGAGGTTCAGCAAAATGCATCTGACACTAAGTAAGCACCTCAATTTTTTTTTTTTTTGGTCAGTAGTGGGGCTTGAACTCTGGGTTTGGGTGGTGTCACTGTGCTCTTCAGCTCAAGGTAAGCACTCTGCCAATTGAGCCACAGCACCATTTCCGGTTTTCTAGTGGTTTATTGGAGATAAGAGTCTCACAGAGTTTCTTGCCCAGGCTGGCTTTGAACTATGATCCTCAGATCTCAGCCTCCTGAGCTAGGATTATAGGCAGGAGCCACAGGCACTGGGCTAAATGTTGTTTGTGATACAACTGATACTAATCACTGCATGAGCTCCTGAGACTTGGGTACTGATCATGCTGGATCCTGGGAACAGGGCCAGGGCCAATGAGCTTCCTGGTATAGGGATTCATGAGAGTTTTCTGAGGAGGGTTGTGGCATGGTTAGTTACATTGTAGCACCCAAGAATCCCAGGTAATTTGTGCTGAGCAGGCTTCCTAGCTAGCTGGATGATGTTTAAAATGAAGGTGTAAGGGGCTGAGAATGTGGCTTGGTGCTCGCCCAGCATGCATGAAGCCCTGGGTTCGATTCCTCAGTACCACATAAACAGAAAAAGCTGGAAGTTATACTGTGGCTCAAGAGGTACAGCGCTTCCCTTGAGCATAGAGAGGTTCAAGGACAGTGCCCAGTCTCTGAATTCAAGCCCCAGGACTGGAAAAAAAAAAAAAAAAGGAGGAGAAGGAGGCTTAAGTTGGTGCCCATGGCTCATGCCTGTAATCCTAGCTACTCAGGAGGCTGAGAGCTGTACAGTTAAAAGCCAGTCTGAGCAAGAAAGTCTGTAAGACTCACCAATCAATCTCAGAAAATACTGGAAGTGGAGCTGTGGCTCAGGTGGTAGAGCTAACTTAACTAATGCTCTATGGTGCTCAGGGACAGCAGTGCCTGAGTTCAAGCCTAATGACCCACCAGAAAAAAAAAAGGCTTCCTGGGAGCCATGTTTGACTTCACCAAGAGTGATTTTTTCCCAGTGTTGAATACGCTGGCTTGTGGTCATTTATTTGACCTTCCTGGTGAACTGTGTATGACTAGCTTGTGGATAAAGAGAAGAATCAGATGGGCTGGGAAGGTGGCTCAGTGGTAGAGTGCTTGCCTTGCAAGCCGGAGGCCCTGGGTTCGATTCCTCAGCACCACATAAGCAAAAAAAAGAAAAAAGCCGGAAGTGGCGCTGTGGCTTGAGTGGTAGAGTGCTAGCCTTGAGCTGAAGAGCTGATGGACAGCACCCAGGCCCAGAGTTCAAGCCCCACGACCGGACCCAAAAAAAAAAAAGAAGAATCAGAGTGAATAGGAAGGTGAGCAGTATGTGAATAAAGTTATGTGAGACAAAGGCACCAAAAAAAAATGCATTTTGGGCTGGGAAGGTGGCTCAGTGGTAGAGCGCTTGCCTTGCAGGCATGAGGCCCTGAGTTCGATTCCTCAGCACCACATAAGCAAAAAGAAAAAAAAGGCTGGAAGTGGCGCTGTGGCTCAAGTGGTAGAGTGCTAGCCTTGAGCTGAAGAGCTGAGGGACAGCGCCCAGGCCCAGAGTTCAGGCCCCACGACCAGACCCCCCAAAAAAAAAAAACGCATTTTGAAGGGTGAGTAGGAGTTTGTTAAGTAAAAGAAATGGGGAAAAACCTGGGAGCCTCTTTGGATTGCAGATCTCATGTTACTCGCTGGAGAGTTGTCCTGTCTTCCCCTCTCTTCAGTGACCATCTCTGTAAATTTCAGATCCTCACTGATTGGCAGGATAAGAAAGGTGATCGCAGATTCCTGAAGCTGGGTCGAGACCATGAGCTTGGAGCTCCCCCCAAACATGGGAAGCCCAAGAAGCAGAAACTGGAAGGGAAGATGGGACACGGGCCAGGCCCTGGCCCTGGGCGACCCAAATCCAAAAACCTTCAGCCCAAGATCCAGGAATATGAATTCACTGATGACCCAATTGATGTGCCACGGATCCCAAAGAATGATGCTCCTAACAGGTTGTGGGCCAGAAAACACAAAAGGGGGCTGGAGGATCTTGGGGTCCTCGAAATGGAGGCTTATTGGGACCCAAGGCTGAGTGCGGAAGAGCGTGGATTCCCTCTCAGGATCTGCTTCTCCCCACAGGTTTTGGGCATCCGTGGAGCCTTACTGTGCCGATATCACCAGCGAGGAAGTGCGCACGCTGGAGGAACTTCTGAAGCCCCCCGAAGACGAGGCGGAGCATTACAAGGTAGAAATCCCCACAGACCTAGAACAGGAGAGCTCAGAGTGACCTCAGGATACAGCTAGTAAAGGCTTCCCGCCTCCTGTCTGCCCAAGCTCAGACTCTGCTTTCTGCTGGCAGAACCTCCTCCTGACTGCACCTGGCTTTGCCGTCTCTGATGTCTGCCCTGTCCCTTGTGTTCCTCCCCTCTGCTGTGGTTCAAGCCTCACCCCATTTTACCAGCTGGCCTCTTCTCTTCCCGTTCACCCTGCATGCAGGCCTCTAAGGCATCTTTTCTTATTTTCTTCATCTTATTTATTTTATTTTATTATTATTATTTTTTTTTTTGGTCAGTTGTGGGGCTTGAACTCTGGGCCCGGGCGCTGTCCCTTTTCAGCTCAAGGCACGCGCTTAACCGCTTGACCCACAGCTCCACTTCTGGTTTTCTAGTGGAGATAAGAGTCTCATGGACTTTTCCTGCCCGGGCTGGCTTTGAACCATGATCCTCAGATCTCAGCCTCCTGAGTAGTTAGGATTACAGGCTTGAACCACTGGTGCCCGACTTTATTTCTTTATTATACAACACACACATCACGAATTGTAAGTCTACACTGATGGAAACACATTGTATAGACATGTAATAGATAAAATAACAAAGGATGGAGGAGAAATAGAAATATATAGGAGTTGACCTTAAACACATATATGATATATAAAACACACACACACACACACAGCTTGAAGGTATGGCTTAGGTAGTAGAATGTCTGCCTAGCAAGTGCAGGGATCTGAGTTCAGGAAGTCAATTTTCTTTTCTTTTCTTTCTTTTTTCTGCTATTCCTGGGGCTTGAACTCTGGGTCTGGGCGCTGTCCCTGAGCCTCTTTGAGCTCAAGGCTAGTGCTCTACCGCTTGAACCACAGCACCACTTTTGGCTTTTTCTGATTAGTTTATTGGAGATAAGAGTCTCACAGACTTTTCTGCCAGGGCTGGCTTTGAACCTGGATCCTCAGGTCTCAGCCTCTTGATTAGCTAGGATTACAAGTGTGAGCCCATGGCACCTGCTAATTTTCTTTGTGTTTGTTGGTGTTGAGGCCTGAACTCTGGGCCTGGGTGTGGACTGTCCCTCAGATCTTCAGCTCAAGGCTAGCATTCTACCACTTGAGCCACAGTGCCACTTCTGGCCTTTTCTGTTTATGTGGTGCTGTCCCTCAGCTCTTCAGCTCAAGGCAAGCACTCTACCACTGAGCCACTTTCCCAGCCCCCTAATTTTCATTTTTTAAGAGATGGGCACTCATGGTTTTGCTCAGGCTATCCTTAAAGCCCAAAGACCAAGTGACCCTTCTGCCTCAACCTCAGTGACTAGAACTACGGTGGATGCCGCTGCGCCCAGCTTAATTGTATATGTGTGTGTGTACATGCACACCGCGTGCCCGTACATGCACCCACATGGGGGTTTGAGCTTGGGACGTTGTTCTTTCACTTGGGTTTCTTGCTCAGGGGTGGCATTTTATCACTTGAACCAAACCTCCAGCCTAGCATTTTACTAGTCAATTCAGGGTGGACTCTTACTGATTTGGCTTTGAACTGTAGTCTTCCAGGTCTCAGTCTCCTGAGTAACTAGAATTATAGGCATGGGCCACCAGTGCTTGTTTCTTCCTTTTTGTGATGAGAATCCAACACAGGGCCTGGGATGCTAGGCAAGTGCTTCCTCATTGAGCCACAGCGCTGGGTTTGTGCACATGTGCGCGCACATGCACACGCGCGCGCGCACACACACACACGGAGAGACTGAGTGAAAAGCATATTGGCAATGCCAAGTGCATGGAAAGCCTCCTCTCCAGGCAGTATCTGGCCATTGTTAACCACTCAGGGCCAACTGATCTTTCTCCTACAGATCCCACCCCTAGGAAAACATTATTCCCAGCGCTGGGCCCAGGAGGACCTGTTGGAGGAGCAGAAGGATGGGGCCCGGGCAGCAGCTGTGGCTGACAAGAAGAAAGGTCTCATGGGGCCTCTGACGGAACTGGACACTAAAGGTAGGCCCCTCGCCTTCCTGTCCACTCCAGGCCAGGATTTGATTTTCCACAACTTCAGCCCACCCGTCGCCCTCTTCCCTGCCTGCTTCAGATGTGGATGCCCTGCTGAAGAAGTCGGAGGCCCAGCATGAGCAGCCAGAAGATGGGTGCCCCTTTGGCGCCCTGACGCAGCGCCTCCTGCAGGCCCTGGTGGAGGTGAGCACCGCCTGTTCACAACAAGATGCCATGCCCTTTCTGGTTTGACACTTTGGGTTCTCTTCACGATTGAGCCTGTAGTAATCACACCATGGTGATCACACCATGATACATTACTGTATCTTAGAAGCCACCTCCCACTCTCCCTCTCTCACCTCGCTCCACGGTACTTTAGCTGAGCGTCTGAGTGTCCATGGTATCATGGCTGTTGAGTGTTTCCATCACTCCTCTGTGGCCTCTTCTTTTGGTATCAGTCCAAAAAGGAGGAATGTCTAAAATGATCTAAGCGTTTTGAAAAGGCTTCCTAGAAGAGGTGGGATGGGAAATACAACAATCATTTTGACACTAAAGTAAATAAATTAAAAAAAAATTTTAGATAGGGGGCTGGGAAAGTGGGGGGAAGGAGAAATAGACTGTCCAGGAAGAGTGCTAGGAGAGGATGGGGCCAAAAAGGAGAGAGGAAGGGAGTGACTGGTGTCAGCAGTGATTATTTACAACTATGAAAAGGAAACAATGAAGCCTGTGGAAATTGTTTAGGGAGGGGAGAGGGGGCGCAGAGTTATGGAGGGGTGAGGTACATTGTAATACCTTGTCAACAATGGGGAAAATGTAACAATGGAATCCTCCCTTGATTAACTAATGCAAACTTAAAAAAATAATTAGTTGAATCGCTTGCTAGTACTCAAGAGGCTGAGATCTGAGGATTGCCGTTCAAAGCCAGTGCAGCAGGAAAGCCTGTGAGACTCTTTTCTCCAACTAACCACCAAAAAGAAAAGCCAGACTTGGAGCTGTGGCTCAACTGGTGGAATGTAGCTTGAGCAAAGAAGCTCAGAGACAGTGCTCAAGCGTTTCATCCCTAGGACTGACCACAAAAATAAAAGTAAAAAGCTAATTGAAACTTTTGTTACATTTCACTTATGTATATTTTTTCTTAACATTTTTAATGAATTTTTTGTGTGCCCGTATTCAGCTTTGTTGGCTTTTTCTGCTCACAGCTGGCATTCTACTACTTGACTCATGTCTCCAGTGCCAATTTTATGTTTTATTTCAATGTCTACTATCCTAAATCAGAAGTTACCCAAAACTTGAAATTAAAAATTTATTGTTTAGGGGCTGGGAAGGTGGCTCAGTGGTAGAGCGCTTGCCTTGCATGCCTGAGGCCCTGGGTTCGATTCCTCAGCACCACATAAGCATAAAGAAAAAAAAGCTGGAAGTGGCGCTGTGGCTCAAGTGGTAGAGCGCTAGCCTTGAGCTGAAGAGCTGAGAGACAGCGCCCAGGCCCAGGGTTCAGGCCCCATGACTGGACCTCCCAAAAAAAAAAAATTTATTGTTTGAAAACTAAGTGTAAAAACACAAGTAGTTTGTAAAGGAGAAAAGCAGGTCACATAGGTGACAGGAGCAGGGAATGGAAATGCTCCAGCTCTTCCTTTGCCCATTGCTGGTCTTCTAGGAGAATATTATTTCCCCTATGGAGGACTCCCCCATTCCGGACATGTCTGGGAAGGAATCAGGGGCAGACGGGGCAAGCACCTCTCCTCGCAATCAGAACAAACCCTTCAGGTGAGTGACGTCATGTCTGCACTTCACAGCCCAACCCCACCTCAGCATGTGCATGAGGAGGCGTTCATTAACCAAGAGGCTGAGGACAGTCTTGGAAAGACCAAAAATATCGCATGTGAGTGCTGGCTTAGCACTTCGGCAGACAGGCTTAGTCCAGGCTTGTTCTCCACGGCTCCTGTGAATAGCCTGAATGTCCAGCTTGTAGGGGCCTTGGTTTGCTAAATTGTCCTAACTCCATATGATGATCTAACTCGCAGTTGTTAATCATAGTAAGAATTACTTTTTTTTTTTTTTTGGTCAGTCATGGGGCTTGAACTCTGGGCCTGGGCACTGTCCCTCAGCTCTTCAGCTCAAGGCTGGTACTGTACCATTTAAGCCACTTTCTGCTTTTTGTTTATGTGGTGCTGAGGAATCGAACCAGGGCCTCATGCATGTGAGGCAAGCACTCTACCACTGAGCCACCTTCCCAGCCCAAGAATTACATTTAACATGAGAAGATGTGTACCTAGTAAAGGACCAAACAGGGAAAAGGTTCATTGTAACCCAATACAGATAGGATAATCCTGTTTTTACTTAAAATATATTTAAATCTGTAAACGTAGGGGAATAAACTTGGGCTAAGAAAAGAGTGCAATGAATATGTAGCAGCGTGTGGAGCACAGTTATACATGGATGGAGAGGGGTTCTCCAAGTGAGGAGCGGGGACCCCTGTGGTGTCCCTCCAGCTGAGGGCCATGCCTGCCCACAGCGTGCCACACACCAAGTCCCTGGAGAGCCGCATCAAGGAGGAGCTGATCGCCCAGGGCCTTTTGGAGTCTGAGGACCGTCCCGCAGAGGACTCGGAAGATGAAGTCCTCGCCGAGCTGCGCAAACGGCAAGCTGAGCTGAAGGCACTCAGTGCCCACAACCGCACCAAGAAGCATGACTTGCTGAGGTGAGCTCACAGGAGGCACTGGCCAGTGTGGCCCGGCCACTGAGTCACCCGTGAGGACTTGGGACAGACCTGTCACACCTGGCTGGGCCTCTGCACCCCAGGAGAGCCTGAGCCAGTGCCAGTGCCAGGCACCAGCACCTATGATTGATCAACTGGAGTTTTGTTTTTGTCAGTTATAGGGCTTAAACTCTGGGCCTACGCGCTGTCCCTGAGCTCTTCAGCTCAAGGCAAGTGTACCACTTGAGCCACAGCGCCACTTCTGGTTTTCTGATAGTTCATTGGAGATGAGTCTCACGGACTTTCCTGCTCAGGCAGGCTTTGAACTTCGATTCTCAGATCTCAGCCTCCTGAGTAGCGAGGATGACAGGCGTGAGCCATCCACACTTGGCTCTATGGGACTCTTATTGCCAATTAATCACAGAAAATACCAGAAATGCTGCTGTTGCCTAAGTGATTGATAGAGTGCTAGCCTTGAGCAAAAGGAGTTCAGGGACAGCACCCAAGCCCAGATTTCAAGCCCCAGGACCAGAAAAGAAAAAAGTAAAAGAAAAAGTGTCTCAGGGACTTTCCTGCCCAGGCTGGCTTTGAACCATGATCCTCAGATCTCAGCCTCATGAGCAGGTAGGATTACAGGTGTAAGCCACTGGCACCTGGCATTACATTGGTTATTTTCAAGATAGACTCCTTCATGCCTGGACCATCCTGGACAGTGGTCTTCCTGTTTCTTTCCATTTGTCACTGAGGTGACATCCGCATGTGCCGCACCCAGTCTTTGTGCTGCGCTCATGGCTTGTGGTGACAGCTGCATAATGTGGTGCCCACTCATTGACTGAGGTGGAGTGTCCTGATTTGTTTCGTCAGTTGTGGAGCCTGAACTCTGGGCCTGGGCGCTGTCCCTCAGCTCTTCAGCTGAAGACTAGCGCGCTACCACTTGAGCCACAGCATCACTTCCGGCTTTTTCTGCTTATATGGTGCTGAGGAATAGAACCCAGGGCCTCATGCATGCAAGGCAAGCACTCTATCACCGAGCCACCTTCCCAGGCCCCTCGTGAGTTTTTACACATGACTGAGTTTTTGCCACATCCCCCATATCTTCTGCCTGAGTAGCTAGGATTATAGGCTTGAGCAACTGCACCCAGCCCATGTTTTTTAGAGCACTGAAAATAGTGCCTTAGCAGAGAGTCCCATGTAAATGTGGCTCCGTACTTTGTCATTCTTTTTGTTTTTGTTTTTTTTTGGGGGGGGGGTCCGGTCGTGGGCCTGAACTCTGGGCCTGGGCGCTGTCCCTCAGCTCTTCACCTGAAGGCTAGCGCTCGACCACTTGAGCCACCTTCCCAGCCCCTGGCTCCGTACTTTGATGGTGGTAACACAATGGTCCAAGGGAATGCCAGTCTGGCCTGGTGGGTGGGCTCAGTCTGGAAGAGGGAGGGACCACACTGGGACAGATGATGCATGGTATTTGGCGGCTGGTTCTCACAGGTTGGCAAAAGAGGAGGTGAGCCGGCAGGAGCTGCGACAGCGGGTCCGCATGGCGGACAATGAAGTGATGGACGCCTTTCGTAAGATCATGGCTGCCCGGCAGAAGAAGCGGACTCCTACTAAGAAGGAAAAAGACCAGGCCTGGAAGACCCTGAAGGAGCGGGAGAGCATTCTGAAGCTGCTGGATGGGTAACCCTCAGCTGCCTGGCTGCCTTCCTCCCACTTCCTGCTTTGGGGGCCAACAGTCTTGGACCGCACTGCCCATCAAATGGTGACGGTCTCCAGAGGGCTGAGCCCTCCGCTGCGGCCTTTCGGTCTAGCTCTGTACAGCCAGGACACACGAGGCCCTGCGGGGCCAGCCTGGCCGGCCTGCCTGGCCCCCGAGCTGGGCACGAGGAACTCGTTCCTGGGTCTTCCTCTTCCTCTGCCCTCCCCCACTCCCCACCTGTTCCCCTCAAACACTTCCCCCTTGTGGTTTTGTAAAGTGCAAACTCAAGAATAAAGTGACTGCTGTGGTTTTTCACAAAATACCCCGTCGTCGTCGCCGAGTGTCTGTTATTTTGCGTGAGTTACTTTGCGTGAGGGTCATTGTGGGTTGGGAAGGGACTAGAGTGGGTGGCGATGGTGTAGGCGGGCACGCGTGGTGGCTGTGCCCTGTGGTCACTCACCCCTGGCATTCGGCTGTGCACCTCCTGGAGCTAGCCACGGCTGCGGGTAAGGAAGCCGCAGAACGTGTCGGTGGGGCTCCCGCAGCGCAGCGCGTGTCGGTGGGGCTCTCGCAGCAGTGCTGCCTTCGGGATTGGCCAGTTGGGCATCCTCAGCCCACATCTTTCTTTTTGTCTTTTGGCTTCGTGGGGTGTGCGCGTGCGCCTTGAGGCGTCCCCCCACTCCAGCCTCCCCCTCAGCTAGCTTTTTTTTGAGACAAGGTCTTCCTATGTAGTCTAGGCTGGCCTCTCACTGTTGATCCTCCTTCAGCCTCCCGAGTGCTGCTGGGTTTACTCCTAGGTAGAAGGACCTCCACAGCTTCCCTTTAGGTCTTGGGTAGCAGGCAGGAAGGGTCAAGGTCAAATGGAGGGAGCACAGGAGTCAGCTGGCTTCTGTGATGCTCCCCAGAGGAGAAGCTCTTTCCCAGTATCCTTGAAGCAGTCCCTGTGGCTCAGGAGGACAAACGGGTTCCATCAGCAGCTGCTGCCTCACCAAACCCAGGCAGCACAGAGAGGGTAGAGCCCACCAAGAGCTGAGCAGGGAGAGGTTCTTACAGTCAGTCTGAGGTAAGGACAGATGGAGATGTTTTCCTGTGCCTCACCTTCTTCCTAGGTGAGTCCGGGGGAAAAGCAGTCGTTCACATTTTATGGGGAAGTTAGGGGAGGAGAGGCTGCATACAACCTCATACACGGAACCATAAAGAATGATAACACCTCTCTATGGGATAAATACCCATCGTATGTGTCTCTTGTGAGACAGTCACTGTTTAAACTATGCTGGACAGACGTTCCAGGGAATGGCCATGTGACAAACTGGGCCACTCAGAGGCCTTCCTTAAACCAAGCTCAGAGCTTAGCTGAGGGACAGTGCCCAGGCCCGGAGTTCAAGCCCCATGACCAAAAAAAAAAAGATTGCTCTTGGGAGGACAGTTGTACTTCCTTTTCCATGGCAAGCCATCAAACTGCTTTCCTCTCACGTGGGAGGATGTGCTAGCTCAGCAAAAGCAAAGCCAGGAGGTGGAGAGGGAAACAATCCTAATGCTGAAGCCTAGATCCAGCCCTGCCTGAAGCCACAAGATCTCCCAGTAGACTTCTTAGCCCACAGAAGAGTTTAGCTTAGGCTAGTTTGCTTTGGATGCTGTCATTTATAAATTAAAAAAAGACCTAATACAAATGTATTTTGGCTGGGGATCAGTATTCATGCCTGTAATAATCCTGGTTACTCAGGAGGCTGAGATCTGAGGATTATGGCTTGAAGCTAACCTGGGTGGAAAGTCCATGAGATTCTTATCGCCAATCAAATACCAAAAAAAAAAAAAAAAAAGCAAGCTGAGCTGGGTATCAGTGGCTCACGCCTGTAATCCTAGCTACTCAGGAGGCTGAGATCTGAGGATCATGGTTCAAAGCCAGCCTGGGCAGGAAAGTCCGTGAGACTCTTTATCTCCAAGCAACTATCAAAAAAAAAAAAAAAAAAAGCTGACAGTAAAGCTGTGGCTCAAGCAAAAAAACTCAGGGACAAAGCCCAGGCTTTTGACTGGCATGAAAAAAAAATTTAAGTGTATTTTGGCAAGAGAGTAGGGTCCTCTCTCCTGAGGGGCAGCCTGAGGCCCTGCCTCCTACCAGCAGGGACCAGGGTCGAGCTGCTGCTGCAACTCTTCAGTGATTGGCTGTCCCCAGGGTGCTACCGCCTTCTCATAGAGAAGACACCAATGAATGAGACACCAGCTGTAGTTATGACAGTGCAGTTCAGTGTGCCGTAAACGTTAGCCAGTTACCACGTACTGTTGTAAACTTGTTAAACTACCTAATCTTCTGTGACCCCTAGAGTAGAGACTAACAAGACTCTACTCACAGACAAAAACAACCAAGGCTTAGACAGTTACTTGTGTTGTTTGGTTAAGGAAGGATTCAAACTCAGGTCTTTTGACTTGGAAGTGGAGCCTTTTCCTTATGTAACTCACTGGGCCCTGGTCCCATTACAAGTTACAGAAACAGTAGTCCCTACACATGGGTAGTGTCCAACTGATGCCGCCACACCAAGCAGCCCTAGCTTTAAGACCCTTTTCTCTTAATTAACCACACATGACCACATTCATGAGGCCAGATTATCTGTATGGTAGGCATCAAGAACAGAGATAGTTTTGTGGAGGAAGTGGGATGGGAGCTAGGTAGAAGTGTGAGGAGGAGAAGGTGGATATTACAAATGAAAGGACCAGTGGTAGAAGACAGACTGGCTCTGGTTCATAAGGGAAGAGACTGAACTTTCCAGAATGAGTTGTGAGCTGCAGTCATTCTCTGCTGCAGCATAAGGAACAGTGCCGAGTGGAGCTAAAGGTCTTGTTTGATGCTCCCTACCTGTCTGCAAGGCAAGGAGCGGGCTGGACACCAGGCCGGGCTGCAGAGATGCAGAGACGCTGAAGCCCAGATACAAAGCGTCACCGTGGCCTTGGGGCAGGCACAGTTACTGCCCGCAGCAAGTGCTATCCCTGATGGAGAGCTTCTGACTGTATCTGTGTGTGCTTGCGTGGAAGGAGGCCTTCTCTATGGAGTCGGGAAGAAGCGGGGCTCCCCACATACAATTAGTTCCCTCAAAACTTTTTTTTTCTTTTTTTTGTTTCTGGATGCTGGTGGCTCACACCTGATATCCTTGCTCCTCAGGAGGCTGAGATCTGAGGATCACAGTTTAAAGCTAGCCTGGGCAGGAAAAGTCTGTGAGACTCTTATTATTACCAGAAAACCAGAAGTGGTGCTGTGGCTCAAAGTGGTAGAGTGCTCACCTTGAGAAAAAGAAAAGAAGCCGGGCTCTGGTGGCTCACACCTGTAATCCTAGCTACTCAGGAGGCTGAGACCTGAGGATCTCGGTTCAAAGCCAGCCTGGGCAGGCTTCTCCAATAAACCACTAGAAAACCAGAAGTGGCGCTGTGGCTCAAGCGGTAGAGCGCTCGCCTTGAGTTGAAGAGCCGAGGGACAGTGCCCAGGCCCAGGGTTCAAGCCCCAGGATGGACAAAAAAAAAAAAAAAAGCGCAGAGGTCTGTGCACAAACCCTGAGTTCAAGCCCCATGACTGACGATAATTTTTTGTTTTTTCCTCTCGAGGCTTGCATTCTACAACTTTGAGCTACAGCTCTACTTCTGCTGGCCTTGAACCACAGTCCTCAGACTGTGGCTAGGATTACTTATGTGAGCCTCCAGCACTCAGCTAAAACTCTAATTTTAACCTAAAGCTACTGTGACCCTTTCTCGCGAGTTTGGGGGGAGAGCTTCCTGAGTGTGACCTGGAAGGCACGCACAAGCATATATATCACCACTTCTTCTGTCCCACACACCTTCAGCTGCGCCAGTGCAGGGCTGATGGCCTGACCCTCAACAGATCCCCATGCACTCAGAAATGCTCATGGGGGGGGGGGGTGCACCAGTGGCTCACGCCTGTCATTCTAGCTACTCACTCAGGAGGCTGAGATCTGAGCATCACAGTTCAAAGCCAGCCTGGGCAGGACAGGCCATGAAACTCTCATCTCCAATAAACCACCAGAAAACCGGAAGTGATGCTATGGCTCAAGTGGTAGAGTGCTAGCCTTGAGTTGAAGAGCTGAGGGACAGCACCCAGGCCCAGAGTTCAAGCCCCATGACTGACCAAAAAAAGAAAGAAAGAAAGAGAAAGAGAGAGAGAGAGAGAAAGGAAGGAAGGAAGGAAGAAAGAGAGAGAGGGAGAGAAAGAAAGAAAGAAAGAAAGAAAGAAAGAAAGAAAGAAAGAAAGAAAGAAAGAAAGAAAGAAAGAAAGAAAGAAAGAAAAGAAAAGAAAGAAAGGCTCTTGGTTCCGCTGACTGGTGCTGAGAGGGACCCGGTATTTGCAACTTTATGAGAACATGGTCAGGAGCAATGGCCTTTTCTGGCCTGGGGCCCAGGACTCACTGGAGAGGACTAAGGGGACTAGGCCCAGATGCCTGGAGCTGCGAGCTCGCTTCCCCCATAGCCCACTCCACTACCTGCCCGCCTTTCCTCCTTCACACTCCCTCCCTCTCTCCACTGCTTGCAAGAAGAGGGAGGCTCCAAAACAATCCAAACCCAGGCAAAGAGTTACAATGGAAGAGTAAACACGGTCCCCAGGCCCTGGAGCCCAGAGGGACTTGATCTGTCCTGAGCAGAGAAAGCCTCTAGGAGGAAGATTCCAGGCGGATGACATTCCAGACAAAAGGAACAGCAGTCCACGGAGGTGTGAACAACTGGCCTGCTTAGAGAGAGGTGAGAACTTCCGTGTGACTGAGCCCCAGCTGTGCCGGGGAGGGGAAGGAGAGAGGAAGCTGGGATTAGGCAGGGAGAGACACTGAAGAGCAGGATACCAAGCGGGACTTTACCTGCAGGACCGCGGTTCTCCGCGTGCAGAGCACATCTGTATGACCTGGGAACTTGATAAAATGAGAACTTTCAGGCCTGGAATGTGCAGAATCAGAAAGTGGCTCAGCTATTGGACATGTGCAAGGCAGGTGTACGGGCGCAGGCCTGGAGCCCAGCTATGCAGGAGGCTGAGGGGGAAAGAAGCATTGCTTGAACCCTGTCGTTTGGAGCCAGCCTTGGAAAACTTAGTAAGATCACATACCAATAAATAAATAAATAAGAGGGGAAAACTGGGCGAGAAGGAGGGAAGGTGACATTGTTAAAAAAAAAAAAAAGCTGGGTGCCACTGGCTCCCACCTGTCATTCTAGTTACTCAGGAGGCTGAGATCTGAGGATTGTGGTTCAAAGCCTCTTATCTCCAATTAATCACCAGAAAAACAGAAGTGGTTCAAAGGGGTAAAGCGTTGGCCTTGACTAAAATTGGT